CCCCAGTGCATTTTCCTGGCATCACAACCTTGAACATTTGCCCAGATTCATTCTCATTCCCTTGGTTATGGGCCTTTGGAAAGAAGGGTGGGCTCCTGGGTGGAATTTTGCCAGGAGAGAAATGCAAAAACAGCCAATTCTTTCCAGAAATGTCAACCTCTGCAAAACAGAAGAACAGATCATCATCAGGTCAGAAGAGAAATCAGCCCTGGGAGGAATGGAGCAGAAGGAGCCGAGGAAGCTTTTTGGGGAAACCTTCCCTTCATGAGGAGAGGCTGAAAGAGCAGGAAATTGCCAAAAGGAATGTACCTGGAAGCTAGAAGGAAGAGTGTGTGTGTGTGAACAGAAGAGCAGCCCCCCATGGATGAAATGATATTTTCAGGAATGGAGTCATAGCAACTGATCTACATAGTTTCAACAAGAAATGGAAAAAGAATAGATCCCTTGGATCCTTTTGGCCACAGGGTGCTGAGCAGCAGGTGGCTAATGAGAGAGCTGCACCTCCCTCGGTCCTCTCTGTCCACTGTAGCAGCTCCAGGAACCTTTGTTCTTCCGTGCTGGTGGGGATGGGGGACGACGGAGATTGGGAGAGTAGGCTTTGCTGCATTGGAAGTCACAGCAAGCGAAAAGGATCTCCAAGCCCTTCTGGGGTGGCAAAAGCCAAGGGAGGGGGCCATCCTTATATGGAAGGAAGGGGATCTGTGTGGGAGGGGTCTCACATTGCCTCCCCATGCCCAGGGACAGAGCTCTGATGTTCATGTGGAGCTGGGAGACCAATCAATTCAATGGTCCACTTGCAGCAGATGGGCCAGAGATGTGCAAAATGATCCCAGCTTGGAGATGTTAAAGAAGAAATTGAAACTAAAAGTCACCCTCCCAGCATCCTTATGCTGCTCTGTGCTATAATGGCTTCAACAGACAATTATTTAACCTAATATGAAGGCATCAGGTAGAGACCAGAAGATAGTCACTTCTAGTCCCGCCTTAGGCATGAAAAACAGCTAGGTGACTTTGGGCCAGTCCTTCTCTGGGCTGCTGTTGTGGAGAAAATAGGAGGAGAATTAGGCATTAGGTAAGTTCACCACCTTCAGTTACTTAAAGAAATAATAAGATAAGATTAAACAGACAAAGAGATAATATTCTAGAACCAGCAAATTACCAACAAATCAAATTTTAAAGGGGCTGGAATTCTCATCAGGAAAAGTGAGAAAATTTTTAAAAAATTCCTTTCCAAAAAAGATGAGGAAGTGTACGTGATAGGAAGAAATATAATGAAAATGTAAATAATACATGTTAGAAAGTAGAGAAAAACCTTTTCTTCTTTCTTTTCTTCTTTCATAGTTGAGAGAAGCTGAATGATGGGAGATTTATGACAGATTGTTTTAATTAGTTGCTTTTAAAATGCTGTTAGTTGCTTTCCTGTGCTTTTGTGGTGCATGTTAGGATAATTTTTACAGACATTTATTCTTTGGGGAATAGGCAAAAAATAAATATTTTAAAAGAAAAGAGAAAAAGGAAAGATGCAGCCTTTTCACATGGCATCTAGCTAAATTTTATTCAATTCACTGTCAGCCTGAAAAGGATATTAGCCAAACTTGTTTTTGATGTCATGAGTCATGGTGGAGAGAGAGGGCCCTTCCATCTCTTTGAGAACATTGGCCGGGGAGCCCAGGGGACACTTGCAACTTCTGTCCCACAGTCGACAGCTGGTGGCCTCTCAGGAGGCAAAAGAGTGAACTTGCTGGGCCTTTGGTGTGGTCCAGCAGAGCTCACCCCATATTTTCCTAGTCTGTCAGCTTCTGCTTCACTTGCTTACTATCAGCTGCCATAGAAACAGGGTGGGTGGGGGCATGGTATTTGGGATGGGAATTATATGGTACTGGAGGAGATATGGAAAAGGGAGTTTTCTTCTCACCATCTTCTGCGTATGCTGGTGGCCGGTATTTGGATCTGGTCAAGGCCAACCATCCTGCATACCAACCTGATGATGTCTTTTGGAGATGCAACCCACATGAAACCTTAGGGAGTTGCAGATTGGTCATTGGGGTAGGGTCATTGGAGGGGGGGCTGGGTTATCATTTGATATGTACTTGTTTGCACCTTTCTGGCTCAGATCTTGCTTTTCTTTCACTGCTATCTTTTCATAGTTAGTAAAAGTATTTTAATTTTCACGAACAATGGAATTGAGAGTTTTCTTTCTTGGTTATTGATGGAGGCACGCCTGACACAGTCAGTAATATCAGCGATACATGCTTAAGAGAAAGTGAGCTTTTTTTTTTTTCTGTGCCAGTCAGAGCTGTTATTTAAAGATGGCACAAATAGCTTATATAATTTGATCTAGCTGCATCAAAGTAGATAAAACTTTGGATTTTGGCCTAATTCCTACTCAGAGGGAGATGTTTCTTGAATTCAGAGCAAGCAATAGCTGAAGCCCTGGTTCTGTCTGTACGACTCTTCCTGGATTCCTGCTCCCAGGATTGCATGACAAACCATCCAGTGGGCGCATGCCCCTCCCGGTCTCCTTTGAGGATGATATTTGCTTCTCTCTGTTGCATGTGGCCTAGTCACTTGGCACATTTGAGAAAAAAGCTGCTTACAAGAGGATGCCATATTTTATTACAGCTTTGCTGTACTTTTCAAGGCCCTGGCATCTCCCTTATCATCAGAAGCTCCATACAGCCAGGCTAGCTTCATACAGACATGGCAACTGAGACAGTTAAATCTCTCCCACCCACCATCCTTGGGATCTGGGGTGTGGGGGAGGAATTGACAGTTCAGCATGGCAAGATTGAACTTATCAAGCCCTCAACATGTGACAATTTGAGCCTGTCTGGCCCCATCTTCCTCCCTGCAATGCCTTTCACATCATCTTCTTGGGCTGGTCGATGAGCCCAGCTTTTAATTTCTATACAGATTCCTCCAAATGAGAGCCCTTGCCCTCCTCTACCTCTCCTGGTGCAAATTGGGAGAAACCTTGCAAGAGATTGTGCTGCTGAGAGGACCCGCTCTTTCTCTTGGGAGGCTGTTGTCTATCATAGCACTCAATCCCTTTGGATTTATTCCTGCTCAAATGCCCGGGCTACCCATGTGCGCTGCTGCCCTGGGCACTGGCAGGGTCTCCCAAAGGGTCGGGGGTGTCCAGGAGGGCTCTCTTCACCAGGAAGGGGGGGGCTGAGTTCCCCTACCCAGCCGGGCTCCCTCCTCCTCCACCTGGCTCTCCTTCCGCCTCCAGCCAGCCAAGAGCCCAGCGGGGGAGCGTCTGCCAAGGGGCTCACAGGCATCCAGCGCTTCCTTCCGTGGCGCGCAAAGGCTCCGCGTCCCCTTCAAAGCCTGTCGCTCTCCGGCTCCTTAACGAGGGAGGGGCCGTCTGAGGACTCCCCACACCCTCTGCGCGTTCGGCGCACACATCTCCACGCCAGGCGAGGGCGGTGTGACTGGGCCGGGGATGGTGGGAGGAAGCCGGAGTCGGCTTGGCGGGGAGGGAGGGGGGCGCCGCGTTGTTGCCAGACTTCGGGGCTCCCCCCCTCACCCTCTCGCGCCCATGAATGGAGCCGCCTGACTGATGGGGAAGGAGGAGGAGGCACGTTGGCAGCTTGCAGAGACCCAGCGCCGCCGCCGCCGCCGATCGGCCGCCTCTCGCTAGCTCTGCCTCCCCGGAGCCCAGCCAGAAACTTTCCTTGGGCCCAGCGAGAAGACACCCCCGAGGCCCTCCGACCTGCCGCCCTTCCTCGCCGGGGAGACGGCGGCGGCGGGAGCTCTCCGCGGTGCTGGAATGTCCGCGCGGGTCCTCGGCGGCTGGGCGTTCGGAGTGCGGGGCCGGCTGGCGTCGTTCTGATCCGCGGCGCCTCGGGGCCCAGGGCTCCCTCGGCTCCCCCCCGCCCCATGCGGGGTCTGGAGCTGCGGGGCTGACGGGGCCCCTCTTTCCATGTGGCTGCACCATGGGCTCGCGCCGGAGGAGGATGGCAGATCTGCTCCTGTACATCAACGCCGCCCTCCTGGCTTATTTCAGCTGTGCCAGCCTGTCCTGGGCAGATGCAGGTAAGAGGGCGGG